TAATGCTGTTATTGTTGAATGTACTGAAATCCAACACTTAATAGAACATTTCTCAACATGAAAAAAATTGTTGAAATCCTCATGTCTTGGAAAAACTGCTCAAAATCCAAAGTACCAAAGGAACTAAAATGTTTATTGTTGTATACTTCGTTTGTGTGCGAATGATGAAGACACATGGTGATGCTGAACAAACACTTTATTCTCCTTCTACAACAATGGTTCTCAACCTTTTTAATGCCGCGACTCCCAACCGGTCGTAAGTCGAGGACTACCCAACTGGTTGTAAGTCAAGGACTACCCAACCAGTCATAAGTCGAGGACTTTCCCTGCCCGGGAGCGCCACGCATGCGTGGTGCCGCCCCCTGTGCCGGCCGAGGCGTAGCTGGCAAGGGGCAGCAATGGCGCAGGGCGACCACCGGCTGGGCCACCAGCTGGCCCAGCCCAAGGGAGGTAAGGCACCCGTTGGGCCCCACGCGCGCCAGCAACCCTCCCTGTGCCTGCCGGCCTCCCACCTCCCACCCCTGGCCCTCTTTTACTTACACTTTTAGTAGTTGTTCAGCAGGGAGGGGTGGAAACTTCCAGACAGCTCGCCTTTGCTGCACACAACTTGCAGCACCGTTTGCAGACTGGGACTTTTGGCGGGCTCAGCAGGGCAGAGACAGCCTGGACAATTCCTATTGGCTTTTGAAAGCCAATAGAATTAGACTCTATTCAAGAGAGTCTATTCTATTGGCTTTCAAAAGCCAATGGAATAAAAGGGAGTAGCACAGCTAAGGAAAAGGGGGAAAAAATGGCGGACTGCGTTGTTTGGCGACCCCCGTGAAACGGTGGTTTGACCCCAAATGGGGTCATGACCCACAGGTTGAGAACCGCTGTTCTACAATAACCAAGCAAAAGCAAAAGGCACGCAGGCCTTTTTATATGGCCAGAAGCCTGGACAGTATCAACCAATAGGAACAGAGCGTTTTCACACCTTGCGCATGCACACAAGGCCGGCGCCGCTCTGTCTGGTCCCGGTCAGCTTTTGGAATGCCTGGGATTAATGCAACACCCCGAGCCTGCTTTTGCAGGCTCAGGACATAACATTTATAATTGTATGATCTGCAATGTTTCAAAATAATTAAATTTTAGCAGCATGAAACCATACAATACAAACGTTAATTCAGTTTATCAACAGGAAATTAAGAATTGTTCCAAAATATCAACAGGCCTCATTGGCTGGTTCATATGATTTCATGATTTACTTTGGCTTTGGTTTGCCTAACATAAATTGTGCTAATCTATAAACCATTGTTGGCCAACTAAAATAGGTGCCTTCACACAGCAGGCTAAACTACATTCAGATGAATGTGACTCATTCTAAATTATGACTTAGCACAATTCATGAATAAATGATTTGTTTTACTTAGTTATTCTCAATTCTTAAGACTCAGATAAGATTCAATTGTATCTGGGTTCACAAAATTGGCTGACGCAAAAGAAAATACATTATGAATTGGGGCCCAACTCCAGCGGGGCTGGGTTTTTTATAATTATTATTGTTGTTGAGAGTCATTGGTTGGATTTGCACAATTTGCTTGTCAATAGTGGGGCAGAAGTGGAGCAGTTCCAGCTCAAAAAAGATACAGTATGTTCTGGGTTAAACTATCTTTGCTAGTTCTTCTAAGCCCTTCCTAATCAGTTATGGGTTGAAAGGGAGAAATTAGCTCATTACAGGGAGAATCCTGATAGTCCCAAATTCTGAGTGGGTACACCATCTAAGTCAGTGTTTTACAAACTTACAACTGGAGTTCAACTTCCAGAACTACCATCCAGCATGAGATGAGATGGGTGGCACTGATCAAATCCAATCAAATCCAATCAAAATACTGATCTAAGCCAAGTCCAATGCTGTGTGCCAGATAAAATGAAGAAATGCTAGTAGTGTAATAAGGAAACCTTGTCAACACTTCTGGTGCAAGTATTTCTGGGATATCAAAGATACCATGAAGGAAATAGGTGAAAACTATATTCCTCAAAACATTTAGTTGGAAACCAATTAGTGTAATTCTGCCACACCCAGAATAAAGATGGATAATTTAGTAAAATGTCATTATCATTCTAGCCATTGTCTATTCACTGCAGGTTGAAGGCCTCTTCTGCATGTTTCCAACTAATACGATTGAGCTTTCTTTTGCCAGTTGGGCCTGCAATATTTGGTGAGGTTGTTGCTCCATCTTGTTTTAGGTCTCTTTTGTGGACGCTTTTTATCAGATGGAGTCCATTCTATAGTTAAATGTATTATGCAAATAGTGCCATCCTGTCACACAGTTAAGTTCTTAGTTTTAGGGTTGGTTTCCTTTATACAACAGCTATAAAATACTGTCTTTTCAATTGTGTTTTTATTTTTACTTATGTGAATCTAAATAAAACTATAGTACACATCAATTTGATCTGTCTCCTCTCAGATTTCTAAAAGGAAACTTGCCCTCCTCTTTAGGCCTTTCAGAAAATTCTCAATATGCTCTCTGTTTCTTCTGAAACAGAAGCTATGCAGAAGCACATGCTTTATAGAAGCTTTCTAATAGGAACTGTTTGAAAAAGATCTCCAGCTCTCAGGACCCACCAATGAATGATCTTGGTTTCCTAATCCTTACCAATTATAGTATGGTGACTCCTCCCTCCCCCTGATAATACTAAATGATACAATGTATTTCAGTAAAATTATTCTCATTCACATTATTTTTTCCTCTTTCTGAAATTTTAAAACTATGAGCAATTTTTTAAAGCCATGGTTTTAAAATTTTTGGAAAGGCTATCTGAGCCATATAACATTTCTTAGAGTAAAGATTTTACCCAACAGTCAACCAGTTAACCATCTCTGAGCAATCCACATTGTAGTTTAAATTGTGTTTCTCCTATCTGTTCCAATCTGTTTCTTAAACCAATTTCAGAAATTTCTGACTGGGTTGTGATGGGCTAGCAATAGACCTGGTACTCTGCAGATTATGCAAGACTTGATAGATTGTCATCATGGACTGGTATACTGGTGCCTGCTTTTTTTTTTTTTTTTTTTTGGTCCTGGAGAAAAATTGATCTATGTGGTTGCTAAGAGTAAACACCAATTTGATTGCATAATCAAATAAACCCTTGATTTCCCAAATGTTCACATAAATAAATGTCTTCCCTCTCCCCTATACCCTTATCTCATTTCTCTAACATATATCCTTTTTATTTATTTTTTTCTTTGATGGTTCTATACAGTACCATTGTAATAATCAAAACAATAGGGAACAGGTATTCTTTCATTGCTATGTTCAACCAGCTCTTGGAAGAAGAGGGGTATGCAAGATCTTGCAATCAGTTGGAGCCAGAGCAGCTACAGGAATAAAACAAACTTCTGGAGACCTTTCACTCTGAAAGGCAACAGTAGAAAATATTAGTGTTGAACTGGAAAACACAGGTACTGAGTGTATTTGAAATAGATTGGGAGTGGGATGAGGATGCATCATCTATTTGAACATTCAGGAAATGGTGAATAAGTGCACTGGTGATGAGCCAAGGAGACAGGGTAGATCTACTTTTTGTCTCAGAATATATCCTTACAGTGTTTACTGTCCAAAAACACGGAGTCACTGAAAGAACAAGCATTAGACATCCTGAATTAGTTTTTTTAAAAAACAGCATTGGAATTGGTTGCATTTTATGTGATCATTTCCAAGCAAATATTAACCACAACATTTTTTCCATTCAAGGCTGGAATACATTTCTATTGCATATAAAACTAACTTTGGAAAATAGTACTAAAGTTTTTTTTTATTTTTATCTCTAAAGTAATAAATATTATTTTATTTTTAAAAGGAAAATTAAAGCTGCCAACTCTCTACATCCCTGCTTGTGAATCAGTTTCACTGGACTTAATAGTACACCTACATGTTTTTTTAAAGAAAGATAAAGCAGTCTCTTCAGTTTCGTTAATGTACCTTCTTGAACAATGTAGCTAATATAAGTGCACTGTAATGTTTAGTAGTTGAGTTAAATCCCAGTGCCTCATGATACTTAGGTAATATCCATACAACATCCAAACCTAAATATCAGAGGAGCACACACTTTTTGCCTTCTAACCAGCTGATGCTGCTTGTGCGTCTTTAACCAGAGCCTTATGTTAACATTTCTGCCAAGCCCAAAAAAGCCACAGTTTTTAATGTAGGGAAATTGGAATTTCGAAACCTAAGGCAAGTTACACATTTGTTTTCTATAAGGGCAAATTAGTGGAGTTGAACTTGATTAAGAGTTACACTTACAAAATTAAGGATGACCAAAGGTATGTATCAAATGATGCTGTGGTACTTGGGCTTTTTGGTGTAGCATATTATACAAACAAACCATACTGCTGTAGGGTGCAAGTGTAGATTTTCTCCAAGGTTGACTCTGTTGAGCTGAAGGAAGCAAAAACTTGGCTTAGAATAGCAGACTCCATAGCTTAAGAAACAATAGCGGCTCTGGAGGCATTTCTGGATTATTTTCTACATGCTTCTCATTTCTCCCCCTCCTTTTTTTTTTTTTTTTTTACAATTTTTAAAATAAAACCTGGCAATATTTTTTTGATGCAATATCTCCTTGTTCACTATTTAGATTGCATAACACGAGTTGTCTTAGAAAGCTTTGGCCATTCATTCTGCTATATCCTAGCAATGAAATCACAGGCCCTCAAAATGGCGAAGAATTGAACATTTTGTTACTACAAACTTTCTTACATCCCACGAACTTCAGGAAGCTTTGGATCTTCAACTATTTATCTTCCACCCATTTGGAATGAATTGTTATTTTTCAGCAACAATTTGTCATTTGGTTTTTTTTTTTTTTGAAATACATTTGTGGGAGTCCTTGAAATTCTTTGAAAATGCCATGAGCTTTTGGCTTAAGGCAAATGTGCAAATAACTGCCAGAACCAGAAGTGGGCTTTTTAGTCCAAATGAAAAATTTTGAATTAGAACCAGGACTCAAGAAAGAGAGGGCCGTAGAAGTCTTGGCTGTGGGCCTGATGTATGTAGTCACAGAATATAAGCGGTGGCTGAAAGGCAAAAGCTTGTAAGAAGCTACTGGATCTTTCAGGAGAAGCTCAAGCAACAGAGAAAAATTATTAGGAATAGGCAAATATGATGAATCTTCTGATGCTTCTGCTGTTTACTTTGTTGCTGACAGCCCCCTGCTGTTGTGAAGGAGGTAAGGGAATATGATTTTCTCCAATTCTGCAACATCATTCAGCCACAGTCCTACAGCATTTCTCCATACATACCTAGGTATTAGCAGTTGGATCCTTAATATGAGATCTGCTCTAATAAATCTGAAAGAAGGCTTAACTTTCTCACTTAAGAAAAGTGATACACACACCTCAACACAAATGAGGAATGAACATACATCCCATCAATGTTTGTGCAGTCTCTTTCTCTTATGTATGAGGAAAAGGAACCTGGTATGTTCAGATTATTTAGTGTCAAAATAACATTCACAATGAATTTAAATCCAAATCCCTTCTGACTTTTTAAAATAGAGAAAATAAAAAAATGTGTTTGATAAATTGAATAGAATTTTTGTGGCAATGTACAAAAGAAAATAATTTCTTTTCATGTCCTTTTTTCATAATTCTTCAGCTTTAAAATTTAGAAGACAGAAGAAAACAAGCATCTTATTTAACTTATAGAAATAACCCTGAAAATGTAAACTACTAAAACTTTTTCTGAGTATATTTAAACTAAAAAGAATGAAGTAACACCAATTGGCCAATTACTACTTTTTACTGAAAAAACAAGTACTTGTGTGCATGTGTTTTGTATATTGTGCCTAAATGAGTGGGGATACAATGTCTCTGAATTATACTAGATATCTCACACTATCTTATCTTTTTTTTAAAAGCTTCATCCAAAGCTGTGGATGAAGGTAAGTAATTCCCCATTACAAATCCTAATAGGTAGGTAGGTAGGTAGGTAGGTAGGTAAGTAGGTAGGTAGGTAGGTAGGTAGATAGATAGATAGATAGATAGATAGATAGATAGATAGATAGATAGATAGATAGATTGTGTGTGTGTATTTGTTTATTTAGGAATTCTTCATTTGATGTCTGTTTTTGATCCATCTCTTTAGAAAAGACATTGGAAACCTACTGGGAAAAGGGTGACAGTGTAGGCTGCCTGAAAATGATGGGACTCAGTTGAAAATGGTTTCCCTCTCTGTTCTTCCAATATGTTAGCAATCCCTTAAACTAGATGGAGGAAAGTTAAGGGTTCCTTGATTCTCCATGTGTAGACCATTTATGATGACAAATATTACTACTGTAATTTAATTTTTCAGACAGCCAAATAACATGAAGAAAGTTGACAGGGAAACCTCTGGCCCCTAGTAGCTAACTTAACACTCATCTCTTTTAGGTGTTAAAAGAGACCTGGCACAAACTCAGTTTGCCTATTAGTCCCCCGATGAATAAATGTCCTATTGGCTAGACACATAGGAATATTCTTACCAGATGGTCTGGCAAAAACTAAGAAAAGTTCTCAGAAGGTGATGGCCAAGTCAGTCTGTTGCAGCAAAATAACTCTCGTGGCACCTACCTGATTTATTGTAGCATAAACTTTGTGGATTAGAGTTGCTTCCTCAGTGCTATTTGATGAAGGTAGATCTAAGGCTATCATATAAGATCTCACAAGACGTCTGGATCTTTGAAAGGAGAAAAAAAAGAGGTGCCTGGCATATATTTTATTTGGCCATTCAGCAGAATTTATATGATTTTTCTCCTCCAAAATACCCCTATTGAAAGGTCTCAGCAACTCACTGACTATTCAGAATATTAGACATATATCTGTGATACTCAATGATTCCAGATATTTCATGTATGACAAAGATATAGGTAGTCCTCAACTTACAACCACAATTGAGTCCAGAATTTCCATGGTTAAGCAAAACTATTGTTGAGTGAATTGTGCCCAATTTTATGACCTCTTTTGAAACAGTTGTTAAGAGAATCACTGTAGTTGTTAAGTGAGTCATATGGTTTTTAAGCAAATATGGATTTCCCTATTGACTTTGCTTGTCAGAAGGTTGTAAATGGTGATTACGTGACATTAGGACACTGCTGTCTGTCCATGCACAAAAAGCAACTGGAATTTCTAGGCTACAGGTTGGCCACCCCAATCTAGAGCATGAAAGGAATTTTAACTTTAGAAACTGTTTTGTACTTGGAATTTAAGTCTGTTTCCTCATATTTTAACATATTTTATTTGCAACAGGGATTAAAATTGGCCAGGAAAAAGCAAACACCTTTGTTAGAAGACAGAAGAGGGCTTACCCATATTCTGAAAGGTAAAGCAGATATGTATAAAGTAATTATTAATTCTCAATGCAACTAAAAAAAAATGAATGTAAAGATAAGGAAAAGCATTGAAATGCCAGCATATATGATTCCATAGCTGCTGGAAATAAATGAATTCTTTTTTGCTTTAACAAGGCTACTTTAAATATCATTGTGGGGAGGAGAAAGTGCTTTTTAAGGTGATATCTAGTGTAACTATTGTATTTCAGAAGTGCTTATTTGGCATGTATCAGTACAAATGCATGTTGACTCATTGCATACATTTTAGCAGATGGCCCATATCTGTTATAATCTCATAAAGTTGCTGAATGTATGAAATAAATAAAGGGTAGAAATATGTTTAAATGTTATGATTATCATATGCTATGGTCTCACCTCTGCAATGGCTGGAGATAGTTATACATATTCTGGCTTCTGGTACTACTGAAAGGGACTGCAATGATGCCAATAAAAAACTTTCTTATTTTATTAAGTACATTCGGGATTAAGATTCTTCTCATCAACGAACAAACCTCATGTTCCTTCCAATAGTTGTTCCAGCCATTCAGATCTTGATTGTTATGATCCTGTATCTCCTGTAGCATTGTTACATCTGCCACGGTTCTGGGGATGAATAGAATTTCTTTTGCAGTTTTGATCCACATGTTTTGCTCTTCACTTTTGCCCAAGTTACAGAACTTCATGTTCTTCCTCCAATATCCATCACTTAGGCCTACCCGGGCTCCCTTATTTTGGAAGTCTCAAGGTTCTACCTTTTGGGATAATTCCACTAATTCTCTGGTCACTCTGTTCCTGACCCCTGCATGTCACCATTTTATTCTAATTTATGTGGATTTCTTTCTTCATTGTATGGTTTTCAACCATTTTCTCATTGGTGTTATAACACTGAATCAGTCTTAGAGGGCTAAGAAAAAATAAACTGCAAATTGGTGTTCCTAGGAAAAGAATTTTCTCCCATCATATTTCAATTCAATACATAGTTCAATACACTGTTCATTTCAAAGGAAAAAATAAATTTGAAGCAATTTGAAGATAAGAATTCTGTGTTCTTGCACTTATTTAATTCTGAAGTATTTGAAGGCCATGTGTGAATACTTTATTTTTCACTGTGCAAATCTCTCTCCAGTAATTCCAATACTCTCAATTTCTTACATTTCCCCTAAGAAAGACTTCAGAACATTTTTGCCACATTGGGCTTTTTCAGCAGAGGTATTATGTCAATTGTCTGGCAGAGTTTTTGAAGAATTTAAAAAATCATCCAATGTCCTTGACCAAAAATTTGGTAGCTAATTTTAAAGTATTGTTTTAAAATTTATTAAAACATAAATTAAACTTATTTAAACCCAACTCCAGGTATACGAGAGCCCCATAAGGCTCTCATCCATCAACTTTTTTTTTAAAAAAAAACAACTATAACAGTGATGGCGAACCTTTTAGAGACTGAGTGCCCAAAAACTGGCCCTGCCCCCACTCCACCCCCTGCCACACCCTGTTCTGCCCTCCCATGCCCCGCCCCACCTACCCACAGGACCACTCACCGCCCAGGCAGCCCAGCAGTACTATGGTGACTACACCCTCTGCCTGCGCCCTGCAGCATCAACTGCATGATGGGGTGAGGGCAGAGTCTTGTCTGCACTGCCTGGCTGCCATGTCCTTGGCTGCACTGCTCCGTGGGGGCCATGCGAGGGGGCGACTCTCTTCAGGGGGGCTGCTGGAGAGGAGGGGGTCATGGGGGGAGGCAAGGCTGGGGCAATGGCATGTGTGCCCACAGAGAGGGCTCCAAGTGCCACCTCTGGCACCCGTGCCATAGGTTCACCACCACTGAACTATAACTTACTCTTACACTGATTCCCCATCTATACTAACATGTACTCACACGTTTATAAATATATGGCTAAAATCTAATAGAGAAGTTGGTGTAGTTTAAATGTAAAAAATAATTGGCTGGAATAAAGTTAAACTGATCTTTGTTTCTCCATGGAATAATACTCTGTTTTAAAAGTGTTATTGTTTTAGAAGTTAATAAAAAAGAATATAAACTAAGAGCTTTTGCAGATGACTTGGTGGTTACCCTGTCCCAAACTACTCACTCTGTAGTAGAGCTATTACAATTGATATACCAATATGGACGGGTTTTGGGTTTTAAAATTAATAACAATAAGACCAAAATATTACCCAAAAATATGACTAATATGGATAAGCAGACTTTGATTAATTTGACAGATTTTGAGATTGTTGATAAGGTAAAATATCTGGGGGTTACTTTATCTGTTTACAGCCGCAAAGTTGTTAGTAGGGCAATATTGGAAGAAGGAATCTTTGCCTACTTTGCAAGAGTGGTTTTCTAAAGTATCCTATCTGGCGGAAATGGCAAAGATTTCGGCTTTTTTAAAGGATCAATCGCAAGAGAAGTTCTTTGTGGTATGGGAAAAATGGATAGATTTTATACAACATAAGTTGGATATAAAAAATATTATTTAGTTTTTCAATAACTTATATATAAATTTTAATATTGTATAGATTGTAATATTTTTTCTTTCTTTTTATATTTTTTATTATTATTTTACTTTCTTATATTTCCTTTCTTCTTTCTTTCTCTTTATTTTTTTTTCTTTTTAAGTATTTTTTTTCCTTTCTTTAATATTTATGTTTTATATATATATATATATATATATATATATATATATATTGTTAATTATTTTATTAGTTGTTTAAGTAATGTATTTAGATTTATCTATGGTTTATACTTTTTTTTTAAGAATTTAAGAAACTTTAATTAAGCCTATATTCAGCTCTGGGAAGGCTGAGGGAGGGAATGGGAGGGTTGGGGTGGGTTGGGGAGGGTTGTTTTTCTTCTTGTAAAAATTTTAAATAAAAAAAAAGTGTTATTGTTTTAAGTTACTGAGAAAAAATAGCATATATTATAATAACATAATTTCTTTATACATTATTGGCGAATATGGGCATAACAAATGCAGTAATGTGTTCATTAATAAAACCCATTTATTACCCCATCAATTGTTTATCTCTGAATATAAAGTATTCTGAATATAAAGTATGAATTGGGAAGCCTGGAATTAGGATAATTCAGGCACTGGGTTCATGATGCTACACAATTGGGGAAATGTATAAAGGCGTAGCAGGTTCCTCTTTGATCTTTTTTCCAGCCTGCTCAGCAGAATGAGCTGTCACAAATATAGAAAGACTGGCTTACCTCATTTTAAAGGAAATGGCATCATTCACATAAAGATTTAAGGAAGGGATACAGTGCAAGGCCATGAAGTCAAGCCTCCAGCATAGTTTTACAATATTGCCACTTCTTCCTCTGATCTTCTCCCTGTTCTTCAGGTACTATGAAATGTTCAAGTCCCCAATGGAGATGAAGCAAGAACAGTGTGAACATTATGCACCCTGTAACTACTACTCTGAAATAGTCGGATTTCCTACAGCATATCGCCGTTACTTTGGGAACATCTGAATATAGTCATTTCTCATCCAACTGGGACATCTGCAAGGACAAAGTGTGGGGCAGCTTAAGAAAAACGGAAATGGCATCTTGTTTCTATTTCACTAACAAGAGTTTAACAACAAGATGTTTACTTTTAAGGCAAGAAATAAATACTTTCTCCTTTCTGAGGAGCAAGTAAGTTCTGCTAGTAATTCTATAAATTCCAATATTTCTTGAAACATGAGTGACATTTCTTGGAAAGTGTAGGGAAAAATTAATAAATTACCTTAATAAATTGGAAGTTGAGGGTTACTTCTGGGGCAATCTAATGGTAAAATTTGTAATTCTATAAAGAGATACTACACTAAATGTTCTCACATTTCAAACTTTCATGTGATAGAAGGAATTTCTATAAGGATGGGGTATTGTTGACAAGGGTTTTTTTTTTTTCTTATATCAGTTCATACTAGACAAATTCACACTTATGTTTTTGTCCTGGTCAGAAAGCATTTGAAATAAATAAATAGAAATAAAATTTTCATGTACAATGCAAGTATTTCAAGAAAACATATTCCTCAGCTATGTAATGTGATTAAGCATGATAATGAGATGTTCCTGATTAGGAACTAGTAGTAAGAATATAATGAGGCAAATATAAAGGCTTGTTTTTGTTTTTTTTGTTCTCTTATTATTACTGTTTTGCTGATGACATATTATTTCATTTAATGACTAAGGAAGGGTGCTGAAATATGGATTTAATTTAAAATATTCTTACCTTTCTAATTTAGAAGATATGTGATCATGGCTATTGCACTTGTCTGAGTATATGGAAAAAAGCATCTGGAATGTTCTTATTCATGTGGTGTCTCTGGGCCCAATACACAGATGTTTATTAAGAAATATTATGTCCAGCAGAATATCTACTAGGAAATGTTGCATAGGATTGCAACAAACTTCAGCTTTAAAGTACACTGAAATAAGGACAACCAATTAATGAGGAAGAACTAATTAACTTGATTACATTTCTAATGGTTTGCCTTCATCCATTCAATTTGTCAATTTCCCTTAAACACAGTTGGAAGTTGGTGAAAAACAACCTTGAGCAACGGCCAATAAGTAGAGAAAAAAAATCTTATGGAGATACAACTGGAATAAAAGAGGAAGAAGGATTTAAATGAGATGACAGTTATATACTGATAAGGAAAGGAGGGGAGGAAGATTTTGCTATAATGAGACTTTCCTTAGTTTAATGTGCTATAGGTAGAGGTTCCTATGAAAACAAATTCAGCAACTTCTATTACTGGTAAGGAATGTTGCAGCCAACTGCCAATAAACCCTCTCTTCACTGGGTTGCATTAGAAATGTATATGCTGGTGAACTCCTAACCACAACTTTTTTTTTCTAAGCTCTAAATTCTGATGTATTCTTTAAGGCCAAAAGACCGAAGGCTGTTTGCTTTCCTGAAAAAAAAATTGTCCATGAAAAATTGTCCTCTGGAGTAGCTTTCTTGTATTTCACATCAAACTAGCATCTGAGGGCTTTTTCTGTGTTTGTTTTCAAGTTCTTTTGTTTTTCTGTCTTAATAGAAGGCCCTAACATTTTCCTAATTATTTTTGAGGCACAAATAACAGACAATCTCTTCCATCTAAAAACTTCTACAACTATGTTCCTACACTATGCTTAAATATTTGATGATCTATGGCACAAACACAAAACAAGAAAGATACAAATATATAAATATGCCATTTGTCTAGGATTGTCCTAAGAAATCAGATACAAAGAACTGAATGCCCATGTTCATTTTTTGTGAGTCAGCTAGAGGCCTGTCCTGATTTTGCTCATATGCACATATGGTACATACCAAAGCGTGGCCTTACCAAGAAGAGATGAACAAAAAGAATTCAGTTTATCTCCCTGAATCATTCAATTGAACTTGCTTTGAAGAGCAAAATCAGATTAATTTCGTGTCTTGATGCTGTAATATTTACTTCTGTTCTGGCTAGCATTGGAGAGGGTTAGTATTTGTCAGACAATTCAAATATATGGGAATGATGGGAATTCCCAGGAAAAAGCAAATGCTATGGAATCAAGATGCTGAGTTTGTTTACTTTGGGGAAAAAAACATGGAGTGAGGAGGAAGAAGAGGCTAAGTGGACTTCCTTTGTCAAATTATTATTTCTGAATGAGTAAAGTTGAATTAACTGGAATTGAAAAATGATAATTGGTAAAAGGAGAAAAACGGAATTGTGATGAAGAAATGAAGACTACAAATACACAATAGAAATAATTAAGCAGTAGAAGAGAAGAAATAGCACAGGGAAGAATTAGTAAAAGGATAAGATCATTTCAAGGGAATTGATAACAAAATCTTCAAAGTTATCAAGGGGAATTTTCACTAGGAGCCAAACCATATACATATGCCTTTGTTTGCATTGATGTTATATGAGATATTAATATGTATGAACTATAGATTGAAATGATGCTGCAATCAGAAGTTTTCTCTTTTATTTGCAACTTTCTTGCTGGGTAAACAAGTAAATTTCTAGAAGCTGAGCAATTGTCTTCTGGTTTATTGCTTTTTGTCAATGATCAATGTGATATACTCTTCAGCCATTTTAATAGATCTTTGGAAATGTTCACAAGTTGGTTTCAAAATCTGAACAGCTTCTGCCATGAGTTCTGCAGCCAACTGAACTGAATCCTTAGATGTTTGTTTACAATGAATTATCCGCATGAATTTAGTAAGTGAAAAAGAACTGGGCACAACAGAAAAACTATGGGTTTTTTGTTTGACTGGTGATGCAGTTTGGGATGAACAGGGACTGGAGTCTGGAAGTGCTTTAGCAATTTCTTCTTTGGTCATGAGAAGTTCACTCACTTGAAGAGACGGCACGGGCGTACTCATTAAATTCTGAATAGCAGTCTCAAGCATTTCAGGGAGATTACCATGCTTAATTATAACAGCACAAATGGGACCACAGATATTTTCAAAAATTCCATTATATTGACCATATATATCTTTTATAAGCCTGATTTTTTCATTAGTGGAAAGGTCTGGCAGAATAAGTTTAGAATATAAAGGAACTTCAATTTTTTCCTGGAAATCTTTGTCTTTCAACTCTACTAGCATCTGCATCTCTTTCAGGGCACTCTGTAGAAGCTGAAAAATTTCCTTGATGCTAAGGTTTTCCTGTACCGTAATTGTGGCTAATTTACTTCCAAGAAATTGGTTGAGCATTCGGAATGCAGTGTTGGTAGAAGAAACAAAAATGTAGACGCAGTCATACATATCACGGCTGGCCTTGACTAGCTTCTCCTCTGACTTTGCTCCACAAAAAATGGACTGCATTTCCATAAAAGGATATATCATACTGAAATTCAAATTAAAACAATATTTAATGGAAGAAAATCAATTGCTTAATTTTATGAAACCAAAGGCAATATATATTCTATGATGACAAGGCCATACTCAAAATATTTCTGATGTACTTCCATACTTGGAGCTAGTACAATATATTTTATTTGAATGGCTATAAAAATTATAGCCCCCTTCGATCAGGCCAAACCCATCTTTTTTTCTCCAGAGTAGCCAATTGGATGTCTTGAGGACCTTGAGAAATATTCCCTCTCCCTTGTCTTTGTTCCTTTGCATTTGGTATTTGCAGGGATGAGATTGCCAACAAAACTAAATGTTCTTGACAGACATGTCAAAGAGCCTTGGTGACACAGTGGTTAGAATGCAGTACAGCAGGCAAACTCTACCCATAGCCTGGAGTTTGATCCTGGCAAGCCTCAAAGTTGAGTCAGCCTTCCATTCTTCCAAGGTCAGTAAAATGAGGACCCAGTTTGTTGGGTGCAATATGCTGACATTGTAACTGCCCAGATAGTACCATAGAGCACTATGGGACGGTATATAAGTCTAAGTGCTATTGCTATTGCTATTGTCTTCCATGAATTTATCCAATTCCATTTTAAGCAATACAAATTAATTGCAATCATGACATTTTCTGGTAATGAATTTCACAAGTTAAATATATTCCATGTAAAGAAATGCTTACGTTTACTTATTCTAAAACGTCTTTCAGACAGCTTCATTGGGCCCATTGTTCTGAGACAGAGAAAAGTTTCCTCTCTGTCCCACATAATATTATATACCTCAGTCATGCCCTCCATCCTCAGGAGACTTTTCTTCAAACAAAAGAGTCCCAAATGTTCTAGCTTTTTCTTATGAGAGAAAGTTCAACGCCCACCCCCTCCCCAATCATTTTGGTGGCCTTCTTCTGTACCTTTTTCAAATGTGGCTACCAGAATGTTATATAGTATATTTGCAGATATACTACCTAGTTGCATAAAGGAGATTACAATTCCTAATTATAATATATAAATAAATTAAAAACAGATTGTTTAGGGACTCCCCTTTTTACTTCCCACAACGAAGAAAACTAACCATTTACTATTACTTTTTGTTAATAGCTTGTAAAAGGACAGGCCAATTTGTTTGAATCGTGCACTGTTCTCAGTTGCTGACTTTTGAACTGATCTTCCCTCAGCCTGGCTGAAACCTCTTATGGGCATTCTCTTGTTGCCTTTCTACTGACGAACCTGCTAGTCAACTTTCTGGGTCCAGTGCTGCTATTCAGTCATCAAATTATTTTGTCCTTTGCCATGTGATTCTTATATTCCTGCCTTCCTTTTTGGATCACACCACTTGTCATCTGGGTCCCTGAAACACACAACCAGGAATTTTCTGGATTCTTCCCCTGGGCACCTGGAACTCATTGATAAATGGGCAGAACTCTTAAAAGTCTTCTACCAGTAACCACATCTAGCTTACCAACCTGGTTTTTAAAGCCAGCTGGCTCTGCCTTGCACCCCATAGCAAATAGGGTTATGTATAAGATCAGCCAGCTCAGGTGAGCCACTTTGTGAAAGGCAGACTATAATCATCTATCTGGGTTCTTATAGTTTCATAATATACATATGACACCAGATCATAATGACCTCTGAAGATGAAGTCTAAGTTGACCTTTACTGTTGTTGATGCAAAGACCAACTATTCTAATTCACAATCATTTAGAGTAGAGATGGTTCACTAAACTATGATTGACAGTGACTCTCCTCTAAGATTTCAGACAATTTTTTCCCCAGCCTCATTTGAAATTTATCTATGAAAAGCATGTGATTTTCTAGAGAAAATTTCTAAAAAATATAGAAGCATTCACATGGCATTTTATTATTTCTCTTTTACTTAGAAATAAATTAGTATTTAGTATCTAGCGAAATTTCAAGAAATATCAGATAAAAAAGAGAGCCATAGTTGAATAAGTGTCCAGCTACAGTGAAAAAACATTGTCAAATGGGAGAAGGATTTATGTGAGTCTGACAACAGAAAAATGATGCCAAAAAAGTTATTTTCATTTCCTGATTCATTAACAATTTCCCAGATAAATATCTCTAGTAATGCCACTTCCAGTAAAATAACCATCAGTGGGAACCAAGGGATATCTGAAATGATATCCCTTCCACAAATTCTTTTGAACAAATTTAGCAATTCTGGAGATTTAAGCAGACAGTTAGCAAGGATATGTGGGCTATTCAATGAATTTCATTATGCCATCTGTCCAGCTTTCTAGTTATTCTACAGCTATAGTTAGGTATTTGATGCAATAAGTCTTGATTGAAAAAAAAAATCCTTTAAAGCCACGGTGGATCAACTAGACACACAGCCACAGATACTGGAAGAGGAGCATGCAAAGATTGAATAGTGGCATCCCAGACTGAGAGTGATGGCTACTCTGCAGTCATGAAAAACAAGAGTCTTACAAATAGATAGTAGCAATTGCTTTACATGAACGATACAATTGCACTTGAAAAATTGTATAGAGTTCTGAGAAGTTACTAAAGAGTAATCACTATACTGCTGAGGTGGACTGAAAAATGGTTTGAAGGGACTGGTCTGTTTTGTCCCTCTCTGCTGCCCAACTAACAAAGACAGGAGTGAGGAAAATGTTATATTAATCTTGATGGGATTCTTCTACTACTAGCAGTCTTTCTCTGATCCCATCAAGTTTTATGTATTGAGCAATCCCCACTCATGATTTAGGAAAATGAAGGGCAATTCTCATGATTTGCATTAAGATATCCACTGATCTCAGTCTGGAAAATTCTGTTATTAAACCATTCTGATTAAACCCTGGTGACTAGAACATGCACTTGCTGATCGTAAAAAAACCACCAGATCATATGAAAATAATGATTCTTAAGAAAGAAACAACTGTATGGGGTAGACAAGTCAGGAATATTTTATGTCATTACAGCTAGTCTTAGACTTATAACAATATTATGTGGCTGTATCTAATTTTATGACTATTTTTGTTGTGGTTGTTAATTGAGTCACTGTAGTCATTAATAGTAATAGCACTTAGCACTTACACTTATATACCACTTCACAGTGCTTTACAGCCCTCTCTAAGCGGTTTACAGAGTCAACATATTGCCCCCAACAATCTGACTCATTTTACCAACCTCAGAAGCAGTGGTGGGATTCAAATATGTGAACAACTGGTTCTCTGTGTGGATGCCGCTTCCAGAAGTCCATTCTGGGCCTGGGCAACAAAAAATTAGCTGCCAGTTCTGCTGAACTGGTGTGAACTGGCTGAATCCCACCACTGCTCAGAAGGATGAAGGCTGAGTCAACCTTGAGCCAGTGAGAATTGAACTGCTGGCAGTCAGAATTAGCCTGCAATACTGCATTCTAACAACTGCACCACCATGGCTCTTTAAGCACAGATTAAGGAAATCCTTGTCACAATGGACATTTTTTTCTGCCAGAAACTGGAACAAAGTGCTGATTTCCAACAACAAAAAAAAAATCTTAAATAACAATAATTGACAATGAGACACTGCAAATGACTGTAAATGTGAGCCGGTTGCTAAATGCCCAAAATATGATGTGATTCTGGTTGTAAGTAAGCCATGGGTAACTTTGAAAGATTGTTAAGCAACCAATTGTAAACAGAGAACTATCTGTATTTATTTTTGAAATGTTATCTAACTACTGGAAACTGGCCAGATTTTAGGAGGTTTACAGTATTTATAGACTGAAAAGAAGGTAAAAATAAAAATAAAATGATTAAAATAATAAGAATACAACTAAAAAATGATAAAATAGTAAAAAGTGATGTCACTAATACAGTTAAACCCAAAAGCCCTTAAAAAGAGTCATATTTGCATCTGCTTCTAGAATACCATGATGGTGATAGATAACTATATTTGGGGGCAAGCTGGTGCAGAATACCTGCCATTGGGGCCTCTCTCATTGTACAGCCTGGTAAATGGAGGCCATTAGTATGCTATCCCTAGTTGTTCCAGTAGGATGGCAAAAAATTATTGAGGAAGAGTCACCTGTAAGATACCCAGGTTATGAAGTATATAAGGCTTTATACCTATATCTTGAACTGCACTTGGAAACCTACTTGGAAACTTATAACAGAGGAGTAATGTGGCACTATCATGACTTACCAGTGAGCACATGCGCTGTTACATGCTGGACCAGCTGAAGTTTCTAGGAGTGGTCTTTAGGAGCAGTCCCAGGAGCTATGAATTTTAATTATCTGATCAACAAATGACAAGGCATGAATGGCCATCTTCAGATCATCCTGTCTAGGTGATGTTACAATTGGTAGAACAGCTAAAGCTGTGCAAATGCCCTCCAAAAAAAAACCAACAACAACAGTATTCACTTGCTCTTTGAACAGGAGCAGTTAATCCAGAAAGTCCTGCTCATTGCAAGCCTGTACTTTCTGGGGGAGCATCATCCCATCAAGAGTCAAAGATCGTATAACCTTGGAATTATTCAGCTTCTGAATAAACAGCCACTCTTCCTCTTTGGACTGAGTCTGAGACTGGTTTTTTTCCATTTCAGGTCATAACATCTACCACATTTCTTAGTGGATCTTTGGTGAAGGTATATAACTAGATAACATCAACATAACAATAGCAATAGCAGTTAGGCTTATATAATGTTTTATAATGTTTTACAGCCCTTCTAAGCAGTTTACAAAACATGTTGCCCCAACAATCTGGGTCCTCATTTTACCGACTTTGGAAGGATGGAAGGCTGAGTCAACTTTGAGCTGAAGAGGATTGAACCTCTGGCAGTAAGCAGAGTTAGCCTGCAATACTACATTCTAACTACTGCACCACTACAATGAGATTTCACCCCAAACTAGCAGATGACCTCTCCCAGAAATTTTATATAGATGTTAAACAGGATAGGAAAGTGGTCTGAACCCTGCTGCATTTCATCATGAAGTGGTCAGGGGCCTGATCCACCTCCACCTACAACAACCACCGTCTGAATCTGTCCACTGAGGAACGAGTAGAAACCTCGGATACCATGTTTCCCAACCTTCCCAACTGTTCTAGAAGAATACTGTGGTCAACAGTATTGAAAGGTGCTGAAATATCTAGCTTATATGATGTTAAATATACAACTGATCTCAGACCTGAAAAAAGAAATACACAAATATTATACTACAAGAAAGTATCAGAAAGTAAGACACTAGTATGCTATGAATAAGAGGTAGTAAAATAAAGCACTGAACATATTTTTAAAATTATGGTTAAGAAATAAAAATTGCCAATATTATCACAAAAGTAAAATGTAGCAGCCTTTCGTAAGAGGATATATATCTTCTATTATACTGTTCACAGGGAAATTCCAATCTGGAATAATTTAAGAACATGAATGAATTTATTTTACCTGTGTTTTCTTATTTATTCCATCTGGATATGTGCCATCACAAATCTTCTATCCTCAGTGGCCTACTTTGATAATCCTAAAGGTCCCAGTGGCAGCAATTATCAATAGCTGTCTTCAGACTGCAGACTCTGGTGTTCAGTAGGACACACATTTCACATATATACCTGACACTGTAGAGAAAAAAGAATTTCCTGATCAGAGGTACATTCTATATGCACTTTAAATTTTTATACTATGAAGATAATACCAGCTGTTCTGTTATTTTTCCTGTTTTCTCTTGATCTTTCTCCTACTTTCTTTTGAAGTCCCTCATTTTTTCTTTATAGTTTTTTTTGTTACAATCATTAAGTATATATTATCAAATAAGCAACATTGGGAATACTTCATATTAATATATTTATGATTGCACAGGTTCAGAAGCAAAAAGCACACAAGTTTTGCATTTAAACTGTAATGAAATCTAACTGTATGAGTTTATATATGAGTATCAGTTTAAACCATAATGAAACCTAACTTCCTAGTAATAGCATAGTTAAAATAAATAGAAAACCTGGCTCAACCTGCCATTTGGCTTGGTATGATTGCTTGGAAACAGATGAAAGAGAAAACACAGTTCAGTGGAGAAGAACTAGAACAGCTTATCTTGTTGAAATATTATCAGTGGTTACAGAGACAATGACCTCATAGAGGCCTGTGAGGTGGATAATCCTGCAAGATACCAATAATGTAACAGTGACATCATATGATATAATCAAAGAAACAACACAGCACGCTAACTGCTTCAGTTTAAACAAAACAGACCAACCTCTTACTGCATCTCTTGTCTAGGATGCACATATAACTATCTTTCTTTTTTTTGTTCCTCTCAGGATGCTAAATTTTCAATACATGAAGACTATTTTTGAAGATGGTGGCAATCTTTCTTTTCTAGGGTTTACTACTTTTTAAGGGAACATTTTCAGAAATGGGTTCATCAAGATAACAATTCTAACGAAACAAATATATCACATTTGTCACTGCTAATCAATTCAGTAATAGAGTTCTGGTTATAGTCAAATTAACATCATATTCATTCCAATTTGCTGCAAATGTGAAAATTACAGAGTTTAATCCTAAAATTTGTCAAATTATTTCCAGCCACTTTGATGTACTGGTTAAGGCACTGGGGCTAGAAAGATGGAGAGCTTGAGTTTTAGTCCCCTTCTTAGGTATGAAAGCTGGCTGAGTGACTTTGATCAGTTATTCTCTCTCAGCCTAACCTACTTCACAGGAAGGTCAATGTGTGTGTGGGGGGGGGAATAAGAGGAAGAGCATTAGATAGGTTTGCTGTCTTGAGTTGTTTATGAAAATAATAAAGGTGATCTAAATAAAATAAATAAATATACTGACTAAATTCTGAAATACATACTTCTTAGCTTCTATAACATCAGCTTTTCATTTATACACACTTAGCTTTCCCTTCAGTCTTTGCTAACAACGCTAGCATTCTCCTGTACTTCTCTATAAAGCTTTCTCCAACATCTAACATGTCTTGTATTTGCCCATCCTTCCTTCAGTTTACATTTCTTACCAAAGCTCAAATGTCTGATGTGGGTCTGACTTGCAGTAATTGGAGTGATGGGCACAATTATACCTTTTCAAAGATGGCCAATTACTTATTGAATTTCCTGTCTTAAAATGAATGTTTGGCTTTATAGATGAGATCTTAAGCGTCTCTTTAAATTAGTCTTTTGGACCAGTTGATTTTAGTTGGTTGACTTATAATGCATGTTTTAAAGTTTCTAGTATTAATGTGCTGCTGTCATGAACATTTTGAAACTTTTTAAATCCTGTACGCTACTTTGGCAAACTTGATTTTAAAAAATGACATTTAAATAATATTTAACTTTCCTCAGTCTAGAACTACTGCTCTCCTGTGGTTGTAACTCTGTACTTTGACATGAGTATTGGCAATGATATTGGTATTTTAAACTGGATGTTTTCTTCATTGAAGCTTCCATTGATTCTGTTTTCTGTAACTGTTTCCTGTCAGCAGTTGAAATATCACTATAACTACAAAATGAATGATCAAGATGAAAACAGCAGGTCCCATTTTTTTTGTGGAAATTTTGATTAAAAAAATCTAAGTCTAAGAGATCTGTAATCTGAGTCAAGGGGTCTTACACTTACACCTAACCATAGCACCAACATGGACCTGCAACCGCTTATATAGTTTTTTGCTATGTTGTCATAACTTCAATTTTTACCTGAGATAGCTTAAAATTTCCATAACTGTTTCAGGTTTATAATCCAGTTTGTATCCTTAACTCTGGGATGGGCACACCATTCCCACCTAGTTCTTGTGAAATTTTCTCAGAATTATTTATCTCCGAGCTGGTGGAGAATTCAATTTTTAAAACTGGAATTGCCTCAGTATTTGCCAGATTACCAAGTTGATCTATAACCCAGAAATCTAGATCAGTTCAAATAATAGCTGATTAAGTGATGGACATAAAACTGTGAGATGAAGCAAAAGAGAGACAGCTATCCCTCTAATGCTTCATGGTGCAATCACTCCACCCTATCTCTCGGTGCTGGGCTGTTGTGGAATTTGGGTTTATTGCCTTTTCAAAATGATACTAAATCTGTTAAAAAAAGCTTAACTTGTGAGCTGATGGAAACACAGCGGCAGTTGCACTGATAGTAGCTAGTGGACAAAGCAGTTTAGAGAGATAGAAGGAGGAAGAGAAGTTGGGCCCTTTATCCTGCCATCTCTCCTAGTCTCTATACAGTGAGTTGCTAGGAGTTTGTGCAAAGCCTGGAATAACATTTGAAGGTGGCTAAACCAACTGGGTGAACAATCTATCCAAACTAGGATTGCTTCCCAATCCTGCCCTATGCCAGGTAAGGAGTGATTGCTGTATATTTTTCTGCTGGCAGTGATTTCTAGTGGAGGAAGATAGTGTGTATGTGTGTGTGTGTGGGGGGGAAAGATAGAAGAATCTACCAATTACTTTCCTTAACTTGCCTTGCTCACAGTAAATAAGGACACCACAATTCAGTAGCAGGATACTGATAGGTGAGGCAGGTTGAATGAAATTTTCTGCTCGTATACAGTAATTTTATGCCATTGAACTGGTGAATGGTGCTTTAATGAGCTGTAAGAAGTGCTTAATCCAGGGTAGGTATCCTAAGATGTCTTAAAACATCAGATCTTTAAGCAGTAGCTTGGATGGGTAATTATATTTCAGAGAATTTCTTCTTTGGGATTGGCTTTTAAAATATCAGCTTTAGAGATTTCTAGCTCCAGATTATTACTTTCTATAATTTAAGGATGAATATTTTAAGAATGCAGTCCCTTAGTGCCAGTTAACACTGTACAACTTGGTTCATTTTTTTATTCAGTACAAGGTACCTCTTCCAAATTTGTTCTCCAGTTTTGTGGATGGAAGGAGTGTATCATTTAATTCTTCTCTTTTGCAAACAGACTGTGTACTTTATGAAGGGCAGAAAGAAGATTGTGCTAACGGAGCTGAAGGGAGCTGGTCTTTTTTTCCTTCATCCTTAGCTATAAAATCTGCCTCCACAGTAAGAGTTGTTTTGCAACTGAGCAAATATCTGAAGAATCATCAAGGAGCCCTGCCAAACTTTGGAACTTTGAAAGTGGATTCAGAGAGAAGGGTGTTATCTTTTTGAACCATCAGCACTGACCTATACATTCTACAATTGGTCTTGAAGCCCAAGATGAACTGCAAACGTTGCAGTTGAAGTATTAGTCTTCATTTGGTGATGTCTTGCTTCTTGCTTTTTATAACATCATTTTTATATCACTTTAGCTGGATCTCAGATAGATGCTTATGTCTGCTCATTGGATCTTGCACTTTTTAATGGATCTAACTGGCTTTCTTTTAAAAACAAATCTAAGTTTCATACTACAATCATTTGCTGCTTCTGGACTATGAATGTTTGGTTTCATTATGTTTGATATCTCTGGAAAAAAATTAGATTAAACTTTGCAACATAAAATCGATAGTTGCTACACTTGATGCATTTTTCTATCAGCAAGTAGGGTAAAGTGGGGGTGTTCCCCACAGAAGCAAATCTTGCAGAATGTTTGCAATTTCGTATATATGTCAGGCTGAAAGCAATGCTTGTTTTTCTTCTTAATAAAAAAAATGTTATCGCAAAATGCTGTGAACAGAACAGCAGTACTACATATATATTTTAAAAGGATAATAAAAACCAATGTAAAAATAATCAGCGAGCGCCTTCTACAGTCCCTTTGGGATCTAATCGCATCCCTGCCCCAACTGCGCCCTCTCGCGCTCGCATGCGGAGCCTATTTGCTTTGAGCCGCTGAACTGAGAACTGGAAAAAAAGATAATGGACAATCAACGCTAGGGAGCGCAGTCGAGCTGCGTCGTTGCCATAGAGATAAGAAAAGTGCCTTAGCTGTTCGGTTTAAGGCAGCGCCACTTCTCTTATTTAATAAAATACTCCGCGTGGGACTCGAGGATCATGTTGGAAGTATTGAAATAATCCAAGAGTAGACCGGTAATTTCTGTTAGAGAAGATACCTCCTGATTCTTTTGTATTTAAAATCAAACTGATCTTTTAAAGAGGCAATAAAACATTTTAGGATAATGATAATGTTTCAAGAATATACTGAATCTATTTGTTATTTATATAAAAGCAAAGAAAAGATGCTAACAGGGCCCAGGACATTGTTTCTTGGGACTGGAAATTTGGGAGCTTTATTTGAGGCAAAGCGCGTCTCAGAGATGGGGGACAGAAGGAAAGATGCTTTCTGAATTAAGTTTGGTAACTATGCAAACTCTGTAGGTAGGACTGTTGAAACTCAGGAAATTGCTGATCTAAGCTTTTTGCAGGATAAGAGAAGCCACAAGGAGAGATTGCAGATGGTACTTTTCTAGCAATCTTTCCTCGCTTTGTCTAATTGCAATCAAAACATGTTCCAGCAATCTTCTTTTGTTTTTTCTATGTGACATTGTCTTCATTTAACCCCCAGTCCATGCTTGAAGTACCCTTAAATTGTCTTTACCTGTCCTGGGGTTATAGGAGTGATTTCGCTCTTATTCAAATACTGTTTTTGTTGTAAAGCCAATTTGATCTGCTTCATTAAATGGTATGTTAATGATACAGTCAATGATTTCCATAGAGTGAGATCAACTTATTTGCCACTTTAAGCTGATGCAGGTACAGCAATTTCTGCTTTGGATAATAGAAATGTCTTCTGCCAGGCCTCTGACTGCTTTTAGTTGCATATCATTCATGATCATCAGCTGACCAGCAGAATGCAGGGTCCAGTGGGCATCAGATTACCTAGTGAATTATAAGAAACAAAGCTAACTCTTTCTTTGCAGGATCATGCTCACTATCAATGTTGTCAATCTTTGGATTTCTTTGGGATATGGATTTAAACATTAAATTTGAATCCAAGGGGGTCTATCAATAGATTATGCTGATAGTCGGCCTCTCTTTGATGTGCTTCTGCAAAACACTTGCACATCAACTCATTGGGTTTTAACTGAGATAAATGCAAGGATCTAACCAATTGTCAAAGCTAATCTCCTACCCCAGCTCTGGTCCCCGGCAATATAGTATTAAGGGGAGTGAGCAGAAGATATTTTCCCACTGGTTGATATTTGCTACGAGG